GTGGGGCTACGGTGACCAGACGGCGATGATGAGGGCGGGGTCGGGGCCGCCCCTGGACGCCGCGCAGCGGGCCGCTCTAGGCGGGGGCGTGGTGAAGGGGGAGATTTCGAGAGCGGCGGGGGCGGGGCAAGAGGAGTCGTTGAGGAAGCGGCCGAGGGAATCATGGAGGTGACTATGATGGTCGTACTGTGGTACTTCATAGTATGCATGCATAGTTATAGTAGCCTTAAGGTTTTGCCTGACTGGGCGGTGGGGGAATCATGCACCCCTGCTGCTGCTGCTGCTGTTGTTGTGTTGGAGGATCCCGTAAGCGTGAGTGTTATTTTGCATGCTGCAGCCGCTGCGTAGGGGGCTGCCCCTCTCCTTCCATTTCTTTGAAGCAGGACCGTGCTGGCTGGTTGTTCGCTCTTGCCGCAGCACAAGTCTTGGTTGGCCCGCCCCTTGTCGGTCGTCCTAGGCTTGACCACCACGCCTTGCTCAGGTTCTTCGTTCACCCGCCGTCCGACCGTGAGCCACGGTTTTGTTTCTAAATGCGGGAGAACAAGAAGCGTTTTGGTGTTGAAAAAGATGCCACTGCGGGAGAAGCGATGTATGTTGATCCCTCGGTTTTGCCCATTGCCAACCCCCTGATCCGACGGGGGACGAAGCAAGCACACACTTTTTTTTCACCTGTACGGTGAAAACGACAGCGACTACTCCAAGCAAACCATCTTAGACGCCCCCACTCGTGACCTCTCCCGTGCCTCTTGTCTATCCTTTCCCCTTCCTCGCCGCGGGTTGGGAAACTATTCCAGACCCTTGCACTCTTGACCTCCCGTGCCCATTTTCTGTCCTCTCGTTCTCATCCGCCAGCGGATTGGGCGACCCCGCCGGCCCTGGGCTCACCGTCAAGACGGGCGGGAGGGGGAGTGGCCGGGCGGGGGGGCAGTCCCAAGGCCCCGCTTCGCCGGCGGGGGGCTTGTCTACCCCCGGTGGCAAGAAGGACAGGGTCCCCAACCACTGGTGGGAGCTCGAGCTTACCGCGGAGGGGCCGATGCTGTACCCTACCTCCAACTGCCACGAGTGGACGAGCGATAACGGCATCGAGCACCGCATCATGGAGATCGAGTTCCAGCACGGATGCGAGGTAGGGTACGGTACGGTATGGTATGGTAGGTATGGTATGGTACGCTGTGGTGTGGGGTGGCACGGAAAGTTACGGTGTAAACCAATACGGTACAAAACAGAACGTGAGGTGCGAAATGGTCGAGGCGGTGGGGGAATGGTGGTTGCAGAGAAAAGGGTTCGTTGTTATGGTTGGTTTCCTCTTTTTTGCTCGACTAAGCCCGGCCGTGAACACGGCCTCTGGTTGACCTTCCGTTCCCCCCACCGCCCTCTCTCCCGGCCTCCCTGAGCTAAATAGATAGTTCGTCCCTGAAAATCTTGGGTTTTCACACGGCTATGGTTGTTTGTCACGGTTTGGGACGAAGCTCACGCAGTGTAAATTATGCGTACAGGTCTGTATCAATGTGTGGGCCTTGACCGCATGAAGCACGCTGTTTTTTCCGGCCCTCTTTCGTCTGTTGCCCCTCCGCTTAGTTTCTAGTGTTTTTATTATTTTTTAGTGTATTTGCTAGCTTTCCATCAGTGGCGCCTTAATGTGTGAATCAGCGGCGATGTTGTAGTGGTTATTTGGGGAATTGCGAAACCAGCGAAACATTGCTGTCAATCTGGCCTTCTTGAATTTTAAAACACCAACCTGTCGGTGACCTTCTTTTCCTCCTCGATAAAATCACAAAAAAATCACGACATGAACGAAAAAAATCACGGTTTGAACCCATATCTCAAGCCATCGAAGAATGAGAGTCCAGGACTAATTAGCAATGAACAACTCTGTGTATGTTCCCGCTTTTGGCGTCGTCACATCTCGCAGGTGAAACCGCCGAAGGACCGTCTGATCAAGGACTTCACCCTGAACTGGAGACCGAACAGCGACATCGTGTACGTGTTCGAGACGGAGCAGTCCGGTTTCTTCGGACTGGTCCTGGGAATGTTCGAGAAGCAGACGGTGACGCACAACAAGATGTTCCTGTACCGACAGGTGCGAGGAGAGGGCATCCGCCCGCCGTCCTTCCGCCGCGCCCACGCGTAGCATCCGAGCTTTTGCTTTACAGGATTGTTTATTTCGGTTTTTCACGTACCGCCACGTTGAACCCCCCCCCCCCCCAGACCCTAGAACTGGCACCTTGTGGCTCTCGTTGGGATGGATCTGTCGCGTCTCTGATTAGGGCGAGGACATTCTGTTTCGTGGGCTGGAAAGGTGGGGGGGAGGGGGTACTGCTTAGAGAGGTCAGAGGTAGAGCGTTTCTTGTTTTATGTCTGTGAGGCAATACCAGCGGCAACGGCAACAGCAACGAATGCACCCCTTCAAGAGCAGCTACAGGTGAGAGATTCAGAGCGTAAGAGAGCAAGCAAGCAGACACTGGCAAATGACGACGGCAACGGATGGGATTAAAACACGAAACACGAATATGGACTCGTAACGCTGTATGCGTGCATGCATGCAGATGCAAGCCCAGCCATGGCCGGTGCGGGGGGACCGCGGATGGAACGGTGGAGGGGGGCCAGCGGAGACGACGCAGATGCGATCGGCGTGGCTGTTCAACGACCCGTGCACCGGTCAATGGACGATCGCCCTCGACTACCAATCGCAACCTTCGTCGCCCATTTACCAGGTATGCTAAAGAAAAGAAAAGACAAGAAGCTTCTTTCTGTGTGACCCCGGCTGATGCATACTCGTCAAGCATATACACCGCAAGGTGCGTAGACTGGCTGGCGCCATAATTGATGGGATGAGCACATGCACGCACGATTTCCATTGGTCGGTTAACGCGGCCAATGCTAATATTTAACAAACAGGCGTTTTGGTGTGACGGTGGTGATAATACGGTAGTTGGGGGCACTGTTTGGGCATGGATCACGCCTGGCCGATCGATCTGGTAACCCAATGCTGCCGACATTCCTCTCTCGGTGTTTAGCGCTTCGGAGGGACTACTTTCTTGCACAGGCAGCCGCGGCCTGCGCGTGTCTGGTTGTGTGCGAAACAAGCCGTTTTGTTTCCGTTGCTGAGTGAAGGACAGCTCTGAAGGTCAATACGCATGTTGTCGAGGATCTGTCATGACATGGCTCTTAGTGGTGGTGATACGGCGGGACGCGTGCGTAGGGGGGGGGGTGGGGTGGGGTAGAGGGGAACAACAGCAGCAGCTGGACGGCCGGGCAATTAGCTCTTACGACGACATATCGCCTGGCGGAAGTTAAAAATTGTTTGTTGACTCTAAACTTGTATGGATAATATTTTTGGACAGCAGTAGCGCACTTTCCCCCGTGTGCATGCACAGTAGTGACCATCAACGCCTCTTTCAGGCACTCTTTTTTTTTTTTTTGCTCACGGTGACGTGCGCTGTCCACTCCCTCCCGATCCCCTCCCTCCCTCCCTCCCTCCCTCCCTCCCTCCCTTCCTCGACAACGCCTCGAAACTTTTTCCGGGAAAAAACAGTACAACTTGCCGCCCGAGTACACTCGCCAGGGCACGCCGTGCATGGACCCCAGCACCTTCAACGGCAACTCCGTCAAGGTGATGGCTGCGTATGACGCGGCGTTTACAGTGTACCTCGTACCTTGTCGTTGTGGGGTGCTGGTTTTGTCGTCGGTGTGGTCGAGATGGTCATGAAGTGATGCGCGGCGAGGGTGAGGGTCATGCTTGCGTTACCATTTTTTTTTTTTTCTTTCGTGTTTTTTATGTAGTGCGACCGTTTTAGGAGAGCGGCCTGTGCAGGTAATTCTGTTCTGTAGTGACCGTGGCATCTTGATGCGGAAAAACAGCCCCACTATCTGTGGCGTGCCCTATACTATCCTTACTCAGAGAAGCCTCTTCCCTTTTCCGTCGGAGAACACAAGTCCTGCGCCAGCGAATAGACCAACATGGCCGCCTGGAGTGCACAGAAGAACCGAACGAACGGGCATCTCTCTGTGATCGTTGTGCATCTATTCGCTATGAAAACCTCAACCTTTCCTCCTTCGCACCTACAGTACCCGATCGCCTACTACCCGCGCGGGGTTTGAAAATTTCCCGGTGTGTGTGTGTCCACCGCAGGTGAAGGGCTGCACCACCCTCATCCCCCCCATCGAGGTGCTTCTCCTCTCGGAGAACTCGGTCCGCGAGGTGTGCGGCGCGGTGTGGGTGGGGTGCTTTACCGCCAACCCCCCCGAGGTGGCGTTCGACCTCCTGTGCAGGCTCATGAGGTACGAGTGCGCTCCTTTCCTCGTATTTTTTTTAAATAAATGCTTGCAATCATCGAGATGCTACCCGTTCTAGACATAAACCGCAGTCGAAGGGGATGCGTTGAAGTCTTAACAGTGAACTGGAAAATAACGGCTCGATACTGGGCTTATTATGAGTCTGTTTCGGCCTGTGTGCTGAATTTTAGACAGTGATGATGCGAGCTGGTGCTAGGCGCAAAACATCTGCATGGGTATGATTTTTACATTTCATCCCCTACAGTTCTCTCTACTGGGTCAACGACAGCAATGTTTTTCGTTGTTGTTTGGTGGTGGTGGTCCGCCGCCGCCTATAGTATTACGGCGTTTTTTTACTAGTTTTCGTCCGCGGATGGATGATGCTGTTTTTCGTTTGCTGCTGCGCTGCTGCTCCAGCATGACGGAGAGCCTTCACCTGACGGACGAGAGCGATCGCTACGCGGCAGAAGTCTTCGACTCCCAACGCGCCGAGATCCTGTCGTTCTTCCTTGTCGGCATCTACGAGGACCCCGCTGATAGAGTGAGTCATGGATGGCCCGGCCCCGCCTACGCAGTACGTGCTCCCTGTGTGTGTGTGTGTTCTTTTTTTTTTATTGACATCGACCGCGCTAACCGGCTGACCAAGGAAAAGATGTCAGCCTCAGTGCGGTTGAAAACACAAAACACTTGTTGTGTGTGTGTGTGTTTTTTTTTTTTTTAATTGGCATCGACCGCGCTAACCGGCTGACCAATAAAAGGACGTCAGTGCCTGCGGGTAAAATCAAGGTCCCTGGAAGGGGGCCAGAATCGCTGTGTGTTTGTGTCATTCCATTGTCGTCGATGTCGCTCTTCACAACTTTCGGTGTTTTCATTGTGTGGACGCATCCGCCGGGGTCACACAGGAGGAACGCCACACTGAAGCATGGCTTTCTGTGCCCTATGCTGGGCAAAATTGACAGCGGTCTTGCGGTCTTGTTATCTCCCTGGTTTTTGCCTCCATCAATAGCTTTGTGTTTACTGGTGGCGATGGAACAAGCCGGCCGGCCGCTAGCTATGTTCTACTTTGTAGCTTCTGTTCGTGGTCGTGGTGGTGGTTGTTTTGTTGCTCGGGGGCGTCTACTCGTTTTCGCCGTCATGGCCTGTGTCTTGCCAACAAGAGCTAACGCAAAACACACGACACTTCAAACGTTTGGTGGCGGCGAAACACGCTGTTCAGGTGGTCCGTCGCGAGCACTACCTGGCTTTCATGGAGTGGTTCGTGTACACGCTGCCACAGGTGGCCCTTCCCGTCAAGGTACGACTATTACTATTACTAGAGGAGACCCCCTTGCCTACGGTGGGTGTGCCGCCCATATTGCTGTGGTTGGATCTTTCAGCCTGTTGCTGTTGCTGCTGCTGTTTTGGTGCCCCAAATGTTCCGGTGCTGCGGGGGAGCTCGATGCACGTGGGCCCCTACCCCTCTGTTGCCTTGTTGTGCGCAATATCGGCCGCGACCTTCGAAGCGTACAGCTGTAATAGCAGTTGCAGTGTATGCACGGCTCAATGGTTCAAGGGACCAGTACATTGTGCCGTGGTTCAGCCGTGTCATGATTCGAGGGTTGGGTGGTTCCATATGTTTTCTTGGGTGGTCCATGGTATATGGCCGATTTGAACGTGTACATGCCGTCTCTCTTCTTCGCGTTTCAATAAACAACAGCAGAGTGTGCAGTTTACCCCGATTTGTAGGCTGCTGGCACTGCGAGCGACATGCGGACAATGAAGATGATCTCAAGGGAAAAATACGTCCTGTATCTAACCTGTTCGTTGTTTGTGTCCCGGAACCAAATTTCGGAACGCGCATACGGGGTCCGTCGATAATCGCAGACACTCCACGGATCGTCGTGTCTTCTATGTATCGCATGTGACGGTGTACATCAGACCCCCTCGGGCGTAGTTTAGAAGCCCAAATTTGCTGCCGTCGAGAGAAAGGGCGTCGGTGCCGAGCGGCCTTGGAAACAATTAGAACTTGATCGAGAGTATGCATCGTTCGGCATTTGCACCCTCTTCGTGGTATCTAGAGCCATCGAGCTTGGTATATCGGCCCCCGAGGTGGGTCTGATATCCACCGTTTCGTCCCGTCCCGTCAAACTTGGCCGTGCGGTTAGTGCCGTCGCCGGAAACGAGGGTGGTTGTGTCTCCCCGCTACTTGCGAGCCTTTGTCCACGTGCACCCCGTTTTTTTTTTTTTTTTTTGCCTTCTTCGTCGTCCTTGTTGCTTGTTTCTCGCATTTTTTGTTGTTCCTTCTTGTGTGTGACCGCGCGCGTCGTGCTTGTGTGGCAGATCTGGCGCATGTACCGAGCCCTGCGCGACGACAACATCCCGTTCGTGTCGTTTCCGCTCTCCCAAGACAAGAGCGCGTTCTACTCCCACCGACAGGTAGGTCGAAATGCACACGGCGGCGGCGTTAGCAAGTGGTCCTTCACACGCGTTACTCACGCACGCCTTGTGTAAGGAAGTTGGATGTGGCCAGCCAGCTATTAAGAAACAGCTGCAGACGACGTGCACGGCTTTCGTGAAGGCGTGTTTTTTTCTTCGGGGGGGGGACATCATGTACCCCTCCCCCCCCCCCTGATCCATTTGGGATGTGCTGTGTGCCTTGTACTGCGCTTCCGAGATGCGGCTGTGTCCATGCCCGTCAATTGTTATCCCTGCACGCACCCCACTCCGTGCACTGCTATTGTTTGTCTCGCTCTTACCTCCTCGTACAGGCCATGTCTGGACCGGCCATCCCCGGGCGGTTCAGCTTCCGGTTCTCTCGACAGCCGTCGTGCATTACCGTGGACTACACTGTTCAGGCTAGGGCGGTGGAAGGAAGGCCTCAGGTAACGCACTTGAAAAGTGGAGAGGAACCTATTTGGCTGTGTGTGGTAAGCGTGGATGGATTGTTGCGGCCACTCTGGTTGCCGTTGCCGTTGCTGTTGCTGTAGTCTCTGTCGCCTCTGTTATGTTGGTGGCGGGGGGGGGAGGGAGAACGGGGTCATGGACGATGGGGGGGGGGAGGCCACGGTGTTTGTCTTGGTGCCCTGCGCGTTCGTTTCAGCGAAAAATGAAGTTCCGTGTTGCGCTCGTTTTTTTGGGGCGTAAACTCCTTTTGCAGCAGCTGCTCTGGTTTGTATCTGTGGGCACTGCCTGTCTTAAACCCTCTCGCGTGTGCCATCTCTCTATCCCTCTGCTCTGTTTGTGTTCCTCCCCCCGGGTGACCTCTCGTGCGTAACTCCAAAACACACGCAGGCGACGGTGATGAGCTATCGCATCAAGATTAGCGCCATCGACGTCAGGGTAAGCGGAAGTCATCCACCCTTCCTGTTATCACGCACCGCCCAGCAGCCAAGCTGGTACCAACATCGTGGTTGTGATACAAGTCTGCGTGCGGTTTTGTCTCTGTGTAGGGGGCCTGGGAGCAACCAACTGAGCCGACGATCTTGGTTTCCCGGGCGGTGGGGGCGGGGGGGTCAACTTGCCGGAGTTCTATGCATAGAACGTTCGTTTTTTCTGCCCTGGTACAGAAACGGCTGGATTTTGTGCCTTGGTGGCTACCGCGTGTTCAGGGCAATATCCCAGGGCGAGCAAAGCGACGCAGGCACCCTTGTGTTGCCTATCCGATGACCGGTCTTCCGATGACGACAACCCCGGCATGAGGAAGCAGGAGAAGATGCGCCTAGACTCGCCGCCCGATTACATATCCGAACACCAACCATGTAAAGGTCAACCTCGCCCTCTCCCTTTCGTTCCCCTGCCCCTGTCGTTGGCGGCGCAAACATAACGGGCGTGACATCCCGGCACGCGTGCCCATATTTTTTTAACTTACGAAACAGACAACTTTTGGTCTCTACTCTATCCACACACAAGAAGCCCAGGCCAAATTCGCGAATAGTTCATACTGTAGTGAGTCTAGTCGATTATCTGACCCCCATGTCCGTGTCTCCCTCTTGTCTTCGCAGGGGGTGATGCTGCGCATCGAGAATCTGCTCCTCCGCGGGGACGAACAAGTCGCCCAAGGCAGAGTCCTCGAGGAAACCTCTCTCGTCCAGGGACCGGTGGAGAACGGCGGGGGAGGGGGAGGCAGCAGCGGCGGCGGCGGGGGCGGGGGAGTCGGACCGTCGGCCTCCTCTAGTTCGCAGAACGGGGCCCAGCACGAGGCTGGGCTTGGTCCTCTAGGTGCGATGGCGGTTTTGACGCGATGTTTATAGATTGGCTGGTGTTTGCGGCGATATAGTACGAGGAGTAGATGGGGTTGTCCCCAATGGCTGGAGTCCGTGCGCCCCTCCTACCCCCCTCGTCCTTATAGCCCCCTCCCCCCCCCCCCCGTACCGCCATCAGCCCTAGGGGGGCCGAGCATGCCCGGCGTCGTCCCTGGCAACCGATTCCAATACTTTCAGCGTTTCTGTCGGTAGGCGTAACTGTCGTTTTCATTACCCACAAGGTGCTCATACATGATATTATGTGGTCGTGTGTGCTACGGGGACCTCAACCCCTCCGCAGGAAGCCTAGAGCGCGTCATCGCCCAAGTGGACATGGAGGAGAGCGGCGACAGCGGCGCCGGCGTCAGCCGACAAGAGCACGCGAGGCCGCCGGTCCACGGCGGGTACCCCAACTCAAGGGGCGGCAGCACCGGCAGCGGCGGCGGCGGGGGGGGCGTCGGCTCGAGTGCGGGCGGAGGGTGGACAGACATGTTCCAGGGCATGACGGTAGAGGTGCGCGGTAAAGAAGAGGGCTAGACGTTCCTTGCGAAGGGTCGGCTTTGCTCACCCCACGTGTCGCGCCCGTGGCGGTGTGGCGTCGACTCGCTCGGCGGCAAGCACGTACCACCGTGTGGCGGAGTTGAAGGGGTAGCGGTATGTGCGTTTGTGTTTTTTTTGTCCGCCAATTCTTGGCGCCAGGCCGATTCAATTTGCTGCGCTTCAGTAGCAGCGCGTTGTTGATGTCTCCGCACCACCGCCGTGCTTGAAATGACACGCCCCTCCCCCACCCTCCCCCACCTGTTGTTTGTTTCAGCTCGCCCAGGAGCAGGCCGCGCAGCTCCACCACGGCCAGCAGCAGCGCGGCGGTGGGGGGGGAGAAGGGGGCCCCGTGGGAAGACCCGGCGATCACCACCACCACCGCATGGCGGCGGACCACTCCGTCTCCGGCGGCGGCGGCGGCGGCGGGCACCAGGGTGGTCGACAGGGGCAGAGGGTGGGGGACGGCGGTATGCCAGGGGGAAAGGGGGACCGACGGGGGGGGGCACCGCAGTTTTCCCAGCAGCACGGTGGTGAGTGACCAACGGACCAGGAGTGAAAGGGGCGTGGGCGGTGGGTGGTAGTTTTTAACCGGCGTTCGGATGTGTGCTGTTGTATATAATAGCGTTGGGCGTTCTTTTGGTGACTTTTTGGCGTGTTTTTGGAGGGGACGTGAAGCAAACGGGTGGCGCTTGGTACGAAGGGTTTTCTATCGAAATAGCTCGATGGCGGACACGGAGGGTGACTACGAGGAGGGGGTTGAGTTCTACGTACATGCCTGCTGTGGCTTCTGGCACCACCTCCTGATAACGTTCCTTGAGCGTGATGCTACTTGCGCATGTGTCAGCGAAGGGCGTTTTACTGGTACCTTGAGGCCGCGGGCTCTTGGTGTGGTGCCTGCCGCCCCAGCACCCGGCACGGGGATCCCGTTTCGTTCCTTGTTTGTCACGCCGACAAGCTCGTCAGCGTGTTGCTCTCTGCCTCAGTGAGTGTACAGTGGCGGGCACAGCTTAGCGACCCCTGTTGAGCGGCATGCCCTTTTAGCGACCACGGAATCGGCATGGCACCACAAGTAGCCGCTCTATGCGACCATGTTCCCTCTTGGCACTTGGGTTGCCACACCGGGCCCACCGCTGCTGTGTCCCTTCCCCTCCTCTTGTCCGCTGGCTGCGAACGAAGGTCCGGGACCCTCGACTTCATCCTCTTACATGTGCGGTCCTGCGGTGGGGAGGATGTCCGTCCAAACGGTAAGTTTGTTGTTTTGTGACGATTGTCTCTCTCGTATATGTGTATGCACGGGGAAAGCACGCTTCCGGGAACCTGCAGCTGGTTTGTATAGTCCAAGCCCAACTTGGGAAGAAGATAAATCTACACCTTCCAACGTATACATGTGTGTTCGTGTGTGTGACTCCTCCGGCTTAATTCGTCCAGAAAATACATCGAAAGGCGTAGAAACTGGCATCCAGGATTAGTGGGACGATCCACAAACAGGCTACGTAGAGCAGGGTAACACTATCAACAAAAGTTGCAACTATGTAATAATCCTTCAATATTAGCGAAAAAACTGAAACAAGTACCAAGGCTGTTGTACGAACCCCAGCAACGAAGGTTTTTTTTTGTTGTTTATTTATTTTTCTCCCATCATTGGGCTCTGTCGTCTGCCCCTCTGGCCCCCATCCTCCACTTCTACTAGCTAGACGACCCAACCGGGGTCACATAGGGGGGGGGGGGGTTGGACCCCCTCCTGCGGTTCCTGCCTGAGATATTTTTATCGCGAGAAGGGTACAGCAATCAATCCCTTCCCTCGCGATAAGTCGATCTAGTTTCCTAACAAGCGAGCTTTGCAGCGCGTCGCTTCCAACTTAGATCAGGGTTTATTCAGTGAGAAAAAGAACTCACTTTGCCGGGACTCGAACCCATGACCTGGCCCTTAGTAGGCTGCGAGGGTATCGTCTAGACCGCCGCGGCGACTGGTATGTATCTGTTGGCGAGGGAAACATGCAAGCTTTTTTGACGCAACAAATCATGTGTTCTCGCCGCCATGATCTTTTCTTTGCAGTACGTGATGCCGCCGCTGCTGCAGTAGATATGCATACTACCATGTTTTTTTGTAAGTGGGCCGTCAGCAAGCAGTACATATGGCAGGCGGGGCGTGCGCGTGGGGGGGTCTCAAGGTCCCCGCCTTTGTTGGTACGGAAGTCTGCGGGGAGTAGTTTTTGTTTGTGCCAATCAACCCGAAGCACAAATACCAAACATGTGTGCAGCGGGACCCTCGGAGTTGAAAAACACCCACGATATCTACGAGATGCGTTCATGCATGCTCCATCTCCGCCTCTTCACTGGAAACCCAATCCCCCCTCTTTTGAGCGTCGTTGTTGTGCCCTTCACTGTTACCTGCCCCCCCCTCGATTGCCACCACCGCTACCGCTGCCGTTGCTGCGTCTCGGCAGGGGGACACGTTGAGTTTCTTCGACGACCCTCCCCAGGGCAACCAGGTACAGCACCAGCTGCCTGTCGGGGGAGCCGCGGGGCACGGGGGCGCGATGAACCTCGAGTACGTGGAGTTCCCCAATTTCCATGTGAGTATTTCGAGCAGCGAGGGCGCTGTGAACCTAACCTTTGACGCGTGGACCTTAAGAGTACATGGGGCTTCCCAATTTCGCAGTAGTCTACGCAGGTGTTTACGAAGTAAGTAAAACATTGGATAAAGTGTGAAATCAGCGAACCGCCCCGGATGAGTTCCCCATCTCACACTATTGTTTTTAGCTAATGTTGCAGTTTTTTTTTGCAAATGCTCGTTGATCGCCGCAAGCCCGTTCTTTTTTTTTATTTTGGTGTCGTTTGACCCTTTACTCGCTGCGGTCCTCGCTCTATAATCCCCGGCATGTGCGCCTGCCGTCCGGCCTCTCCCTCGTTACTCCAGGAACTCCTCGTGTTTTTCGGGCGCACCCTGACGGAACGGTACGATACCTCGCGGGAGGAGCAAGAGACCATCCCTTCGCCGATGTACATGCACAACATGGACGAGTGACCTCATCGCGAAGAGGTAGAAGCGCGGTGGAATAGTATTTCGTGCGAGCTAAGAGCGCGTTGCGCAGACAAACGGCCTTGATGCTTGGGTTA